TAAATATGTCGTGGCTAGTAATGGGTGATTTTAATGAGATTTTGTTCTCCTTTGAAAAGGAGGGAAGTTTAATTCGATGTGAGAGACAGATGCAAGCTTTTAGTGAGGCTATTGAAGATTGTTTTTTTAAAGAATATGGGGTATACAAGGGTATGATACACATGGCAAAGGGATAAAAATGTCGAAACTAACATAAGAGAGCGACTCGATAGGGGCTTTGCAAATGATGCCTGGATGCAAATGTTTCCCCATCATCTCACGCATGCTTTCTCGAATCATTGCCCTCTTCGTGTATCCACTGCATTCACATAGTTTGTTCAGTGGCATTTTAAATTCAAAGCCTCTTAGTTACTTACGGACTCTTGCGAGGAAGAGGTTGCTAGGATATAGACTTCTATGGAGGGTTATGTTTTGGAAAAGTTGAATGAAGTTAGTCACAGACTTGATAAGTGGTTCAAAAATATTTGCTCTTTTAAGCGATTGACAACCCGCGACCTACCAAGGAAACTCGCAAATTTGGTCGAGCTAGCTCCCACAGATGATATTTTAGGGGACATTGTGGATACAAAACTGAAGTTGAATTTGGATACAAAACTGAAGTTGAATTTGGAAGATGATAAGTCTGAGTTGTATTGGGAACAACGAGCTCATGCAAACTAGATAAAAAAAGGTGACAATAACACCGTTTTTTCATCGCTTTGCTTCTGGCAAAAAATGAACAAATAGAATAGCTTTGCTCGAAAGAGATGATGGTAATCGATTCATTCGGATTTAGAGATGGAAGAATTAGCACGTGAGTATTTTCAACAACTTTTCACTTCCATGCCCCCTACGATCAGTGATGCAATTCTTGAGGGGATTGATGTTTGTGTCACTGAAGATATGAATTCTTCCTTGCTCGTGGATTTTACAATGGAAGATGCTGTTAAATCTTTGAGTCCTCTTTGGACCTCAGGAGAGGACGAACTCGGTGCTTGTTTTTATCAGAGATTCTGGCATGTGATTGGTACCAAAGTGTCAAAATTCTACATTGATTTAATCGATGGTCGGTTTGATATAAAATTAATCAACCACAAGCATATAATGTTAATTCCAAAGGTTGAGGCTCCTATTACATTAAAATAATTTAGGCCGATTAGTCTTTGTAATATCATCTTCAAAATTGTTTCAAAAATGCCGGTGAACATGTTGCAGTGTATTCTTGACGTTTGCATCAATGAGGCCCAAAGTGCACTTGTTCGTGACTGACTGATTTCAGATAATATAATAACACCTTATGAACTATTGCACTCATTAAAAAAAAGAGATTGGCGAAAGGGTTATTTCGCCTTAAAGCTAGACATGAGCAAGACATATGATAAGGTCGAATGGAACTTCATATGGGTTGTAATGGAAATGATGGGTTTCTCCTCTTTATGGATTGAGATGATTAAAAGAAGTATTTGCTTGGTGTCTTATTTGGTTATCATTAATGGAGTGGCAGGCTAGTGTTTCTTTCCCCAAATGAGACTTCGACAAGACGACCCTCTCAGTCCTTATATTTTTCTCATATGCAGTGAAGGGTTATCATCTCTAATTCGAATGACGGTTCTCTTGGTACTTTCAAGGGAGTTAAGATCAATCGGTATGCTCTAGAGATATCTTATATTCTTTTTCCTGTTGATAATCTCATTTTTGGCGAGGCTAATAGTCGAGTGGCTACGTAAATAAAGGAAATACTCAGGATTTACTGTAATACCCCAAATATCAGGTCAGTGACTTTATTAAAAAGATTTAAAAGTTAGAGGATTATTTGAATAAATGATAAATGATAAGAAATGATTTAGAAATAGTATTAGTAACAATATATGAATAAAAAGGGTATTTTGGTCTTTTAAGGGGAAATAAATTTAAAATTCATTTTATTAGGGATTTAAGAAGGGAAAAAGAGGAAAGTTAAAACTAAACTAAGTCATCTCTTTTTTCTTCTTCTTCTTGTCGTGTTCACGTGCTCTCTCCATAGCCAAAGTAAGTTTTCTTTGAGTTAGTTTATTCTTTAGTTTATGGACAAGTTTTGAAACCTTAAGTGATATAGAGGCTTAAGAAAAGTTCAAGGATGATTAAAACTAAGTGATTAATGAAATATTTGAGATTGAAGGAAATGGGTATTACATTCACTACCTTAGTTCCACACTAAGGACTTTCTAACAAATTCACTAATTTGTTCTTTCTTTTTTTTAGGCTCAAGAGTAACATTTACAATTTCTCTAGTTTTTCAAAGGCTAAACTAGAACCACTCCCCTTTTACAAAGGTTAAAAATGTAAACAAGAAAACCTCAAAAAAGTAGGTGTTTACAAGAATCGAGCTCACAAGAATGAATCCTAAAGATATGCAATTAAACTCAAACACTTGTGTATAAGAGAAAAAGGAAATACAATAGTGAAAGAGCTTTTCTCTTGATCTAGATTTCTTGGATAAGTGTTGTAAACTTCTTCAAGTGTTATTGACTTGTTTTTATATGTTCGAATGAGTTTGTGGTCGTTTCTAACCGTTGAAGATGTTTTTAGAACCATTGTGGCAAATTTTCTATATAAAAACTACCCAACATAGGGAGTATTTATACTCCTTTAATGAGTATTTGTACTTTCGTTACAATATTTAAATAAACTAGCCGTTAAAGATCGTTGGGCTTGGCCAATACCAATACTAGGGTTTCATGGTATCGATGCCACTGTGTAAAGTAGTATCAATACCCCTTGAGTATTGATACCAATTTTATATTCTGGAATTTGAACATTTTGGAAAACAACAGGTAATATTGATACTACTAAGAGAGTATCGATACTTCTCTTACCTTTGGTATCGGTACATACTGTTCATGTAGTATCGAGACTATAAGAACAATATCAGTACTACTTACCCATAAAATTGTTGTGTTCAAATTCTTGTTTAATGGATTTTAAATTTTTTTTTGAAAACTTTGAATAAATTCAATTAAGTCCAAAAACATATTTCACTTAATTTATTATATCAACATATTACAAAAACATATTTCAACAACCTCCCTAATTGAAACATCTATTTTATATAAAAAAAAGTATTGAAAAATCTAAAATTGTACTTTATTATCATTTTTGTACATATTTTTTTTATCTAGTTTGATCCATTAACTTTCAAATTGTAATGTATATTATCTCCGATTTATTTTTCCATTACAAAAAACCATACAACACTCTAAAAACATACCATGTAGCACATGATTTATGTTAAATTTAAGTTTTTTTAATCAAATTCATAAAAATAATTAAAAGAGATCTTTAAGAAAATACTTTTAAATTTTTTAATATTCAAAAAATTATTTTTTTTAAAATTAAAGTTTTTTTATAATCATTTAGATTTTTTAATTTAATATATATTAATCATGTAACATGTACTTATAATGTAACATGGATTTTTTTTAATAAAAAATAAACTAAAATAAGCGCCAAACTTAATCAAATTTCTTTTTAAGTACTTACATGATAATAAGGTAAAACCTCAATGGTAAAAATATAATTTAATCCATATTATAATGTGGAAAAGCATCAAATGCAGCATAGTGAATAATGTGATTAACCAACGACAAGTTGTTATTGTGAGATAAAATACTAGATTCCTTAAATAAGGTCAGTGATTCGAATACTAACGTTTGCGAATGAAAGCAAACCGGGTTGGAAGGGTCGCCCTCGCCACTGAAGTATCTTATTTGAATTAGTTGATCAATAGATCATATATCAGTAATTAATTAAAAAAAATAACGTGATTAGAATAATACTACATATAGCTTAAGAATTCAATCGGAATGTTTAAACATTTAGGAATAATATAGAATTTAGTCAATAATTTGGGGACTCCAATGCAATTAACTCTTTTAATAATAATACAGAACAATTAACATCAATATTTTCAAAACCGGACCGGACATTGAACCGGTGAAGGTACTGGTTCACTGGTTCAACCGCGATTGAACCAGATTTTATATAAAATAATATTTTTTTTAATTTTACATAATATTCAAAGCAATATTAATATATATGTAATACTTTTTTTAAGTTTACAATATTAAAAGGTATAAAAATATCACAAGTCATAACATGTATAAATGAAAAACCATAAAATCAAGCAAACAAAATTATTTAAATCAACTACAATATAATATTTAAGATAAAACATATTAAATAATAAATATAATTATATAACTATAATCAAAAAAATAAAATTGGACTTAAAAAAATTATAACAAATGATGTCATTTGGTTTAATTGTTTTAAAAAAAAACAATTCCACATTACTAATAAAACATAGAAGAGTATCCCAAAAGTTTAAAGAGTAAAAATATGATAACAAAACAATCCACATGGCTAAGAAACATAGAAGAGCATCCCAACTTACTTCTATAAATAATAGAGGTAATTTGACATTCAAAATCATGGAGGCTTTTGGTGAGCACAAAGCGAACTATTCTTTCGCTTTAATTGAACTCAAATTTTAGGCTTCAATTGAGCTCAAATTTTAGGCTTCAATCGAACTTCTAAATTTTTTTTTGAGTTCGAGCCTTTTTGATTTTAAGTTTTAAGATTATATTTCGAGTTGATAATTTTTAGCTCGTGAGTTTTTTAGTCGAGTTGAGCTTACTTTTAAAGTTTTCGAGTTCGAGTCGAGCTCAGCAATACTCGAATTTGACTCGGCTCGTTGACCAAACGACGTCATTTGGTTTAATTTTTCTTTTAAAGAAAAAAGTGAACCGGCGGTTCAAACCGGTTTTCAGCCGATTCACCCCGATTTTCACGATTTTCAACCGGTTCTTTATCGATTCTGTGTTAATTTGATTTTGGAAGTTAATCGAACCGAACATGCCACCAGTTCACGATTCAATCGGTCAAACCGACCAATCCGGTCCGATTTTAATAACATTGATTAACATAATTCCGGATCGGAAAGAAGAACAAAAGCAAAAAGGTTTCCTATATATAAAAAAACCAAAAAACAAAGCTCGCTCGCTGTTTTTCTTTTCTCCTTCCTGCTATCTTTGTTGTATCTCGTCATATGTTCACCTGAATCTGTAAGTTATTTTTTGTTTCTGTTTTTCTATTTTGTATTTGATTAACCCTATATCAATTAGGTTTCTCTGACCCCTTTAAATTTAATGCGTTAAATTATTGCCTCAATTTATTTTTTCATTTATTTTAATTTTTTCAATTGAATTTACGGTGTTAGGATTGCAGAGATCTCAAAAGCCCTAGATCCTGCTCATTTGTTTCATGTATTTCATCTGATTGGGTCGCTTAGCGGTTGGATCTCGATGTTCGCGTAACCGTTTCAGCTCGAATTCTGAAGATATTTCTCAATTATTTACTCTTTGTCGTTAAATTTTCGAGATTAATTACAGTAAAGCAGGCTTGTCTTCTCTTGCTTCTGTTATTAGATTGTTAGGGTTTTCTTTGGCATTTTAGCTCGTTAGCATTTTTTTTTCTGTTTCAATTTGGTCGATGGCTTCGAATCCTTCATTCCAGGTGGAGGATCACACGGATGAAGATTTTTTCGACAAGTTAGTTAATGACGAAGATGATGACAGCATGGGCCCCACCGTCCCAAAATTCGCGGGGGGCAATCACTGTGGCGATGCTGAAGCCTTTTCCAATTTATCAATCGGAGAAGAGGCTGGCAGCGAAGAGTCTGGCAGTCATGGTGGAAAGGAAAATTCTCCTGTGGATGGAGGTCCTCCGCCGGCAGGTAATGACACTAGTCATTCATTTGGAGTAGATACTAGTGTGTTTGACTCGAATAATCATCTCCAAGCAGTACAGTCAGAGGTTGTGATCAGTCAGAGTTTAAATGAGAATATTGGATCTAAGAATGCTGGGGTTAAGGAAATAGGATGGAATTCGCTTTTTTCTGATTCTGATGAGAATGGGGTGCAAGGGTTTGGTTCATATTCTGATTTTTTCAGTAATTTAGGGGAGAATTCCACAGAAGATTTCCTTTCTGAGAAGGATGTAATTGCGAAAATGTGTTTATTCAATCAGAATTCAGGTAGTACTAACGAGCAGTATCATGGTGGCAACCATGATGAAGTTTATGGAGCTTCTACTGCAGATAATGGAAATGAGCATGATTTGTATAGCAGTCAGTACTGGGAGAATATGTATCCAGGGTGGAAGTATGATGCAAATTCAGGGCAGTGGTATCACGCAGATGGTTCAAGTGGTGATGGGAGTGGGAACACAGATGTGAAAGCAGGGGCTTCTTATTTGCAGCAGACATTTCAATCTGTTGCAGGGACTATGACAACTGTAGAGAGCAGTGCCATTGAGAGTGTGGCAAATTGGAATCAGGTTTCCCAAGTGAATAATGGGTATCCAGAACATATGATTTTTGACCCTCAATACCCTGGTTGGTACTATGATTTAATTGCTCAGCAATGGTGCTCTCTGGAGAGCTATAATGCCGCTGTTCAGTCAACCGTTCATGGTGATGGTCAGCAAAATCAAAATGGATTTACTTCTACCGTTCAGAATTGTCTAACTCAAATTAACAGTTCTAGCATGTATGGTGAACATGGACAAGGTGATAATTATGGATCACTAGGTCTCGAAAGCGCTGGTGAACATCGCACTTGGGGAGATTCCCATGGTAATTATCATGGTCCAGGTTTGAATATGGGGCAACCTGGGACTTTTCCCGTAACTAAGGGAATTTCAAGCTTCGCTGGGAACAAGCAATTAGATACATCTCTTGGTTTGAATATGCTATCAAACAACCATGTAAATCACTTCAATTCATCCTACAATTCTCTGCAGGAAGTTCAGTCAGTTAATAATGCTAACCAGCTTCATACTGGGGCCAATGAGGTCATTGGGTTACAAAGCTTTCTTCCTACAGAAAACTTCAATCATCAGTTTACCCAGATAAATTTAAAGCAAAATGAGCAGATGCATTTCTCAAATGATTTCTATGGGGGCCAGAAGTCTGTAAATGCTGCCCAGCAGCCACTTCTGACTAGCCAGCCACTTCCTTATGCTTCTAACACTGGGCGATCGTCTGCTGGCCGTCCTCCACATGCACTTGTTTGTTTTGGATTTGGTGGAAAACTCATAGTAATAAAAGATAGTAGTCCTCTACGGAACTCGTCATTTGGTACCCAGGTTAGACAACGGATATATAAAGCAATGTAGTAGAGTATAAATATAATTTATTTTGTAGAAGCTGATGGAAGTAAGAAATAGATTCCTTTTAGTTGTGTCTCTTGTTCTAATATCAAGAAAATAACAGACCTTGATTGAGGGTCTTAAGCATGGTTTTCTAGCATGGGAGCCCTTATTGAGTTTTAAGTACCAAACACAATGCTCTTGCTATAATTTTTATTTTTCTAAATACTAATGTTGTATGATTGTGTTTGTTTGAAGGGTTCTGTAGGAGCTTCTATCTCTTTACTCAATTTGTTGGAAGTTGTCAATTCAAACACTAGCATTTCTGGTGCCACACCTGCAACCTCTGATTATTTTAATACTTTGTGCCAACAATCCTTCCCTGGTCCATTGGTTGGTGGAAATGTAGGCAGTAAAGACTTGAACAAGTGGATTGATGACAGGATTGTTAGATGTGAATCACCTAACATGGACTACGGAAAAAGTGAAACTTTAAGAATGCTTCTCTCACTGCTTAAAATTGCTTGTCAGCATTATGGGAAGCTTCGATCTCCTTTCGGATTTGATACCTTATTGAAGGTAAATACTTTTATTTTAATTTTCACCTTCCCCCAACAATGAGGTTTCACTTTCCTTAAAAGTTTTCACTTTTACTTTTAGTTATATCTTGTGAAGATGCTTGTCCTGTGATTTTTCTTTTTCAATCTAATGATCATAGGTTTTCTAGCATACAACTCAAGATATAACTACTCTTCTGTGGGTTTTTTCATGCACGATGAAGTAAAATGAGACTGTTTTCGCTCTCCCCTGATTTCTTTTGCGTGGTTATATTGTATTTCATTCTTATTGTCATGTACCCATTTACAGGAGACTGATACTCCAGAATCAGCAGTTGCTAAACTATTTGCATCTGCAAAGAGGAAGGACACACCTTATGGTGCTCTTAGCCACTGCTTGCAGCAATTGCCTGCTGAAGGACAAGTTCAGGTATGCCATCGACTATACTTCACGGTTTTTTTTTATTAGAGGTTGTTTTGTGTTATCCAACCGAGATTCAAGCTACAAAAGAAGCAGCTCCATATCAAAGAAAAAAGGCTGTTCCACAGTCTGAATATGACTCCCCTTGGTTGCCTCATACATTTTCCTCAACTTCTAATATATGTTGTAGGCAAAAGCCTTTGAGGTACAGAATCTTCTGGTGTCTGGTAGAAAAAAAGAGGCTTTGCAGCGTGCACAAGAAGGTCAATTGTGGGGACCTGCATTAGTTATTGCGTCGCAACTTGGTGAACAGGTTTGCCTTTTCACTTCATTCAATTGTCTGTGACTTTTTCCTATTTTCACGTTGAATGAAATTTAACTGAAGCTGCAATCTCTCTCTCTTTTCCATTGGTTCCCGGCGGTGACTTTGGATCATTGTAGTTCTACATTGATACTGTTAAGAAAATGGCACTTCATCAGATGGTAGCAGGGTCTCCTTTACGGACATTATGCCTGCTAATTGCAGGGCAACCAGCTGAAGTTTTTTCCACAGGTTCCACATTTGATGGTATGGATTTGTCGCAACAGCATGCGGAGGTAATATGTTGGTGCATGAAATTTACTACTAATTGGGTTTTTTAGGGAGGAAAATTTTCCAAAAAAAGGTGTTGGGACATAATATGCTCTGATTATTTTTATGGTGTGATTGTGGATTCTCCGATAAGAGATTTAAGAAAAAACATTTGCCTGTGTGGCGAAGTGGTTAGCCACGAGAAAAATGACACAGGTTGAAGAGATTGTATTTCAGATACTTTTGATGCTTCTATTATATGCATACTTATTTGGAATGATCATACCAACTATTGGGAAGAAGAGTACTTTTGCCTTGGAGAACTGATGCTTGATCCAGCTTCTGCCTGTTATATTTCATTTTGTTTCTTCTCAATTTTCTTTTGCCACATGTTTCTTATTATGTGAGGTCCATATGTTTGAATTCATATTAATAGGAGTACTTTTGCCCAAACCCATAACAAGGTGAATTCCGTTGCGTCTTTTGTTTTGCATACTTTTTCTTTTTGGCCAGTTAAGGGCAAATTGCATACTTGATGATTGGGAAGAGAATTTGGCTGTAATAACTGCAAATAGAACCAAAGATGATGAGCTTGTAATTATTCATCTTGGAGATTGCCTGTGGAAGGAAAGGAGTGAGGTACATTATTGCCTGCTGCTCTTGCTCCATTTTCTCCCTTTTGGATGGCACCCTTAGCATATTATTTATTCTCATTGTTCATAAAATGGCTCTTACGTGAGAGTTAAAATCCAGATAATGGCAGCACATACCTGCTACTTAGTTGCGGAAGCAAACTTTGAGTCATATTCGGATAGTGCTAGACTTTGTCTTATTGGAGCAGACCACTTGAAGTTTCCTCGAACCTATGCTAGTCCAGAGGCTATCCAGGTGCGCTTCAAATTTATTTGGTCCTTAATCATTGTGTTATTAACTACTTGTCAAGCATGGTTTTGGTACTTTAGCATGTTTACTAGAGTTTATCCGCTTTATGATTGTTGTGCAGTATGTAGTTGAGAATGCTTTATTCTCGGTTCGGGGAAATGAAAATAAAAAATCAATCTTCAAGCAAAATTGATTAGGTTGAAACCTAAATAGGAAAATTCAGTGTGCATTCTATCATCTCTCTTGTAACTGGTTGTATATAATGCCAAATCCCAGCTGTTCATGGATGGGCAAGATTTTAATTTTCAGTGTGTAACTTTTAAGAAATCAACCTGTCATTTATGCCTTCCAAATTTTCTGATGTTTTTCTTTCACAGAGGACCGAGTTATACGAGTATTCAAAGGTGATGGGGAACTCTCAGTTTGTCTTGCTACCATTTCAGCCATACAAACTTATTTATGCGCACATGCTGGCTGAAGTTGGAAAAGTTTCAGATTCATTGAAGTAAGCATGTTTAAGTTGTTTGCTTTTGATTTCTGAAGGTATTTTTCGTTCAATTTGTTAACTTACTAAGGCTAGTTCAGGTACTGTCAAGCTGTATTAAAATCATTGAAAACTAGTCGAGTGCCTGAGGTACAAACTTGGAAACATTTAGTTTTATCTCTGGAGGAGAAGATAAGATTCCATCAACAAGTAAGTTTTAGCTTCTCAGTTCAGCCGTTCTTTTGGATATTTTTGTTGTTCATGTTGGCCTTTCTTTTGTAGGGGGGATATGCTACAAATTCGGCTCCAGCAAAATTAGTTGGTAAATTGCTGAACTTTTTTGATAGCACTGCACATCGAGTTGTGGGGGGTCTACCCACACCTCCTACATCAGCATCAAATGGAAATTCTCTTGGTAATGATCATTTAAACCAACAAACCGGGCGAAGAGTCTCTGCTAGCCAATCAACAATGGTTATGTCATCATTGGCCTCTTCTTCTATGGAACCTATTCGTGATTGGGAGGGCAAGGAGGCTGATGGCAAAATGACAATTCATAATAGAAGTGTTTCAGAGCCGGACATTGGCAGAACTCCAAGACAGGTTCACAGTTACCTCCACTGAAAATATATTTGCTACTAGCTACTTGTGCTTCTTACTTCGAATAAAGTTATGGAGTTGTCGTACTGATATTTGATGGATCAGGTTGATTCATCAAAGGAAGCAGCAGCATCCACTGAACAAGGCAAAGCATCAGACTCAGTAGGGGTATCTCGCTTTTCTCGTTTTAGTTTTGGCTCACAGCTTCTACAGAAAACTGTGGGGTTAGTTTTAGGGCCTCGTGCTGATAAACAGGTAGTTCCTTTTACTTTCTGTTATTATTTTCATATATTTCTTAGTTTTTTGTTGAAGAAGCATGGATAACCACTTCTGATGTACAAAATGCTTGATTTAATTTAATTTACATTGTTATCCGAAGGCTAAGCTAGGCGAAAAGAACAAATTCTGCTATGACGAAAAACTTAAGAGATGGGTGGAGGAAGGTGTTGAACCTCCAGCTGAAGAAACAGCCTTGCCACCACCTCCAACCACTGCTGCCTTCCAAAATGGAACATCTGACTACAATTTGCACTCTGCGTTGAAGAATGAGGGTTCTCCCCCTGACGGAAGCCCAAAATTCAGAAACCCAACCCCAATAGAACATGCTTCTGGGATCCCTCCTATTCCTACAAGCTCCAATCAATTCTCTGCTCGTGGACGGATGGGTGTTCGAGCAAGGTACTTCTGATGTTTTATTTATTAGCAATGCACAGTATTGCAGTTGAATGATGCTATGGAACTTGCTTGGTGGGGAAAAAGGCTAAAAGGGAAATGAATGTTGAAAGTAAAGATAAGGTCGTAAATGTAGGATTTCATTAGACTTGGGTAAGATTTAGCTTTGTATAAATAGCTTAGTAAATAATGCTTCTGAGAATTCATAAGCATTTAAGATTTTTATTGTTGAAATTAACGATTTTATTTTTTTGTTTTTGGTTTGAAAGTTGATTTTTATTTTATTTGTGGTTTTACTTTGTAAACCAAGAAGATAGAATATTCATGTTTTTCATTTGGTTTTCGTATGTCATTATGAACACCTGACAGGTATGTGGACACTTTCAACAAAGGTGGTGGCCAAGCAAATTTATTTCAGGCACCTGCTGTTTCCTCTGTTAAACCTGCAGCAGCTGCAAATGCAAAGTTTTTTATTCCCACACCTGTATCAACGACAACAAATGAACAATCAGTGGAGTCGATTACTGAAAATGCACAAGAGAATGCTACAAGTTATACTCCTACCACTTCCACTTCCAGTGCCAATGCTAACGAGTCTTGTCTATCTCCCAAGCCTTCATCGTCAAACACTAGGCAAAGTTTCCTGAGCATGGATAATATATCTCAGGAAAGCATGATGACAAATGCCAATGGTTATTCATCACACACACATCAAACGGACTTGTGGAGTGAAAGCAACTTTGATAATGCAGTAGGTTATCCTTGTAAGGCTGAAATAAGACCTTCAGGGGAGGTGGGAAAGCTTCCGCCGTTGTTTATGCCTGGTCCAATGAGTGGTAGTTTTGGGGATGAGCTACATGAGGTGGAGCTTTGAGCCAAGATTTGTCAAGATGTAAATATCAAAAGTTTCGTTCCTGCGTTCCGAATACAATATCCGTCATATCTCCGAGCATACGACAATGACGGCACACTGAAACACTGGTTATGGAAACAAAAATATCTTCTTTGGCTATTAACTTCTTAACCCCTTCTCCCCATTCTGCATTTGTATTTTGATATTCAGTTGCATTCTTGGGTTTCATTTGGTTGTTTTATTTTGTTTCAGATTTATTGCCACCTTTTTTTTTAATTTATAGGAAAGAAACGGAAGCAAGAAACAGATAGCTAAATGCAAAAGTGTCAATCAGTCAAACGGAGTCTGATTTAATTGTATTAATAGGTTTTATATGTATCGCCAGGGCTAAAAGGAACTGGATATTTATATTCTTTTTTTTTTCTTTGGGTTACTAAAAGGAATCAAATGCCCTAAGCAGGCATCACATGTACAGCATTTGTTCATTGGTTGAAGAATGGAAATATTTGTGTTGAGGTGAAATAAAAGATTATAAAATATTGTTTTTAGTTTTAAATGTTATTTTTTTATTATTATAGGACGAATACAAGGTAATATTTATTCAAAGACTCAATCATTTGATATTAAACGTTTATATCCTTATATTCTTAACTATTGAGGTCGTTTGGTTCGTGCTTAATGACATCTTTGGGAATCATGTTATTAGAACCGTGCTGATTAGTTTAAGCTAAATTGATTGATTCTACATTTCAACCAATGTATGTGGTCGAAGTGAGATTTGTTTTAAACCAGTAAAATAAAATCGAGAAAAACAGTATAAGTGGTTTTTATTCGTTTTGGATTTGCATTTTATTTTTGGGTTATCTATAGCCAATTTCAACGAAAATTCCAGTGATGCAAGTGATGATTCTTCCTACCGTGTGTAGGAATTTGATTTGATGAAATGGACAATGACAAAAGGTGATGGCCAAGGCAACACCGGCAACGACGGACATGGGTAAAGGGGTTTAGAATTAGGGCTTTTTAGAGTTTTGAGTTTGTTTAGATTTAATAAAAGTTTGGGTTTTTTAATAAATAAATTTTATTTTTTTATTTTTTAAAAACCTCGACATGTCAGATGATGGTCGATTATAATATCATTCGTAGTTCAAATAGTTAATTTCATTAACAATTTTGGTTGTGGATGTGTTTCTTCCCTCTTAAAAGTGTCACTCGATTATAGAGAGTTACTTTGTTGAGTCCCTCAATTATTAAAAGTTATAAAATGATCATATGACTATTCATTATGTTATAAAACTCATTATTTTCTGTCAAAAAATTAATGACATTATGAGCTGGAGGTTAACCTGTTGACTGAGATATGATAAAATATGATCTTATAATCTCATATGATTATCGTATCCCAGTCAGCATGTTAACGTCTAGCTTATACGACTGTTAATCTTTTAACGGAAAAAGAATTAGTTTGGAAAATAATGAACAATCGGGTTCATTTTGTAACTTTTAATAGTCAAGGGACTCAATAAAGAAACTCCCTATAGTTGTGGCATAATTTTATAACTTTTAATAGTCAAAGGACTCGGAAAAATAAGATCATATAGTCGGGGATTATTTGTGTACTTTACCGTATTTTTAAATATTATATGGATATTATACATAATTTAGTAATTATTTAAAAAATTTCAAGTCGGTATGTTAACTTTCACATCAAACTTTCATTAAATATTTAATGAAAATGAACCATTTTATAATTTTTGATTAGTTGAGTGATTTTCTTGTAATTTGTAATATGATCACTGAACTTTTGATTCGTTTTTATTATACTCACTTTTGTTTGTTGTTAAGAAATGCTGACATAACACATTAGAGTTATCTTCTTCCTTAGAGTCCTCTCAGATAGTTTTTGGACCCTAAGATAAACTAAAAATATATCCTAATAAAACAAAAGTATATTTTGATACTTTAAACAATTAATTTAATATTACATTAACAAATCTTAGAAAATGATTAAATTAAGAGCCTAAATTATAAAAGTAAAAGAGTGTGGTTGAAAAAAAATTAGAGGTCTCAATTACGGGCTTCAATTATAAAGGTTGAAATTGAAAAATTTAGGGACCTGAATTATAAAGTTAAAAGTGAGATTGAAAAATTATAAGCCTCAAAGAGAAAAAACAAAATTAAAATAGGCATCAACTAAAGATAAAAATATGATTAAAAAATTTTGAGCCCTATAAAAAGAGGGTCCAGAACAGTTGCTCAGGGTGTACCTCTTAATAGCCGACTATGTTATTCTCTAAAACCTTAAATTTCTCATATTAACTAGTAACTATTGGTCTCTTTTCGTCTACACCATCTCTTTTGGAGATTCTTTTAATCTTAATCGTCATTAAAGACTACACTCACCGTACTTAAGAAGATCACCATCTAACTTTCCTCAAAATTTTCCAAAAGTACCCGACCAAGTATCAATTCGTCTCCTACTTGAAATCCTAAGCTCCATACTTATGGATTCAATTGGGGTTCAACCAAAGCCGTTCAAAGTGTCGATCACAATGATGTTTGTTGTTGTTTTGGTTGTTAGATGAGATAACTCCTACATGGAGGTCAACTTGGACATTTTTTGATGCAATGCAGTCCCTCGTATCGGGGATAAATCTACGTGGAAGGTAGAAGGTACAATTGCCCCCAACTTGATGGTTTAATGAATTTTAGGATACTAATATTTTTATATCATTATAATTAAGTCATTGCCCCTCTTAAAATTTACTGGTTTAATTATATTTTAGAATCCTTTCAGTTTTAAAATGAAAATTTGACTTTTAATCCTTTTTGGTTTAATTACTCTTTAAAACCCTTCAATTTTAAGATTAGTGAAATTAAACCATAACTCTTTCTAATTTTATGGTTTATTTAATTTTAAAGAATATTGATTTTAAAGTTAAACAATTTGCCCCCTTATAGTTCAATCTTGACTCCGTCCCTACCTCATATGGTTTAGATATATATTTAGATAAGCATATTATCATTATAATATAATCATATAATGATATGGATTTAAATTATGATATAAATTTATATTTTTGATGTCTTTATTTTTAAAGGAATATAATGATAAAATATCATTCTAGTTTACTTTTAAAGGAATTTAAAGGGTTCTAGACTAGGTTTGTGAAGTTCAGGATATTTTTCCAATGAAACAGACATCAAATTCATGTTCAGAAAGTAAGAAATAAGTGAACATAAAATTTTAGGGTCGAACGATCGTCATTGATGGTGGTCGACGATGACTAACTATGATAGAAGCCGATGATTACCAACAATGGCAATGAGCGACAATCGAGGATTAATTAATATTTTATCTAATGTCCCACGTCATCAAACTAACTTTAGTTAACAGTTCAAGTCCCATTTGATAATGCTTTCTAAAAGCACTTTTAGTTAAAAAACTCATTTTGATCGAAAAATTAATATCAAACGAGTAAAAAATGAAAAAAAGTTATATTGGGAATAGTGGTTTCAACCAACTGTAAAAGCTAGAGTTTCTATTTTTTTCATTTTCAACTTTGCGTTTAGAAGTAAATTATAATTTTACCCATACTAATGCATGAGATCCACTCAATTATGTATTTATGTTTTTATTTAATAATTTAATACTAACATGCTTAAAAAATAATTTATTACATAATAATTTATTTTAATTACTTAAAAGTAAATTAAATTCATGGTTTTTATTAAAATATTAATAGTGATTATTATAAAATATATTTTTATTATAATTATATTTTTATTTGTATTTTTTATATTTTTAATTTACAACAATATGTCTATAATGACTATTTTATCTTTTCAAACTCACTTTTTAACATCAATCCAAATAGTTAAATTTTAAATTATACTTTTATACAACACTTTTAAAAGTTTATTTTCACGTCACTTTTAAAAGGCACTTTTCAATCAAACTAACCAAGTGATCAAAATAAGACTGATTGAAAACAATAGTGACCATAACGCAACCTTTTCAAAACCAGTGACCCAAATAAGAGACACCAAAAAGAAAAGGCACAAGAACTCTAGTTTAGCCTATTAAAAATTGGAAGCGCTGCGAATTCGCGGAAAAACCTGTGTTATTTCATTTTTGGCTTTTGCTGCCGACCCACCGGCCTTCGGAGTTCAATACTTAGCGGTCATTTGCTTCTCTTTCATTAGCGGCTTCCGGTGAGCTTTGGCTTTGTTGCCGTTTGCTACTGTTTGCTCATTGCTTCTGGGTTTTAGGTATATATGAATTTCTTCTCTTGCTGCCGCTTGTCTGCCCCATTTGTTGCAATTTGTAGTATTTGGTTTTTCTAATCTTTCATCACTGTGTAACTGGAAACCCAACCCAAGATTACATGCCACTAAATCCATCATTTTTCATTTATGATTATGCTATATATATGTTTATTTGATTATTTTTGCCATGTGATATGTTTACTATATTTACTGACTCACATATAAAGACAACATAAAAAAATTATTTAATTATGTATTTATATAATTATTTATACATTCATTGTATTGTAACTTTTTTTTTTAAATTTTTGACTGTTTAATTATGTATTTATATAATTATTTATACATTCATTGTATTATATTTTTATTTTAAATTTTTGACTGTCGGATGTCTTCCACGGAAACTGTTCTCAACCTGACGTTGGTGCATCCTACTACATTACTTCCCCTTACCCCATCGTACATGAAAATAGGATTTTATTTTTGTTGTTGTTGTTGTTGTTTTGTTGCTTTTTTATCAATATTGCTTCTTCTAACTATATGATGAAAATGTAAAACTTTAATTATTTATGCATATAACAAAAGAATTAAAAAAATGAATTGTTAAATTGGAATTTGGAACTGGGTATTAAGAGTGTAAGTTCAGGATTATCTAATGAAATTTACTTCTCAAAATCCAAAACCAGAAAAATCCCTGCCTGCCACTGTCAAGTTGGTAGCCGGAAAATCTCCGACCATGAAGCGGAAGCTGCAGAAAACAACTGTTTTTCTCTCTCATTTTCATCAAATCGGTAGCCGTCATTCACGTCTTCAAATAAAATATCCTCCCTCCTGTTTTTGCTTCTGTTCTTCATCTAAGAAACCTGCCAAGGAATATGGAAAAAGGTACGAGTTTCGTAATATTGTTGATGGCCTTAGTTTGTTTAATCAGATGGCTCACGCGTCTCCTAGGCCTTGTATTATGGAATTCAATAAATTGTTAGGGGCTGTTGTGGGAATGAAACATTATGCCGTTGTTGTTTCTCTTTGTAAACAAATGGAATTGCTAGGAATACCCCTTGATGCTTATACTCTCAATATTTTGATGAATTGTTTTTGTCATTCACATTGCGTGGATATTGGGTTCTCGGTTTTAGGGAAAATGTTGAAGCTTGGTTATAGACCGTGTTTAGTTACTTTCTCTACTTTGATCAAAGGGTTTTGCATCGAAGGTAAAGTTGCTCAAGCCGCTAGATTGTTCAATGAGATGGTTCTAACAGGGTTTCAATCTGATTTGTATCTATACACGATAATGGTTAATGGACATTGTAAAATGGGCGACAGCAGTGGTGCTCTTAGAATGTTGAGAGAGATGGAAGAAAGAGGTTTCTGGCCTGGTACAGTAGCTTATACTTCTGTTATCGATAACCTTTGTAAGAGTCGGTCCTTAAATAAGGCTTTGGACCTTGTTTCTGAAATGAAGGGTAAAGGCATTCAACCAGATGTTGAACCTTACAGTTCATTAATTCGAGCCATGTGTAGTTCAAGCTATTGGAGTGATGTGAAGAGATTACTCATTGAAATGGAGAGTAAGAATTTGAAACCAAATGTTGTGACTTTTAATATATTGGTTGGTGGACTTTGTAAAGAAGGGAAGATTTCTGCAGCACTAGGTGTAGTTGCAATGATGACTCGTAGAGGTCTTCAGCCTAATGTTATTACATAAAGTGAACTGATAAACGGATATTGTTTGTGGAGTAGAACAGATAAGGCAAGAAAGGTTTTTGATTCGATGGTTAACCATGGATGTGAACCTAATGTATTTAGTTACAATATCATGATCAATGGATATTGCAAAACAAACAAAATAGATGAAGCACTATGACTCTTTCATAAAATGACTCAAAAAGGTCCAGCTCCTGACGTTGCTACATACACTACTCTTATGGGTGGCATGTTCAAAGTAGGGAGGCTTTTAGGTGCTCAAGAACTCTTTGAGAATATGCGTTCTTCTGGTCAAGATCCAAATTTTACTACTTACTCTGTTTTGCTAGATGTCTTGTGCAAACATGGTCAAATTGACGTGGCATTAGAACTATTTCAGGCAATGAAAAGCAGTGGGTTGGAACCCTATATAGTCCACTATAATATCCTACTTGATGGTTTGATTGAAGTTGGGCAATTCGAGGCTGCAAGGAAACTATTTTCTCACATCTTTGTCATTGATTTAAAGCCTAGCCTCCCAACATATAACATAATGATCAAGGGACTTTGCAATGAAGGACTACCTGAACAAGCATATGACCTTTTCAGGATGATGGAAGAAGATGATTGTTTTCCAAATAACATCTCTTACAATGTTACAATTCGGGGTTTCCTTCAAAGCAATGACCTGTTGAGAGCTATGAAAATTCTTCATGAAATGGTAAATAAAGGATTTTATGCTGAGTCATCTACAGTAGTCATGTTAGTAGACCATTTGTCAGTGAGTGAAGACGATCAACCAACTATGAGATGAGGGTGGTATTGTGAAGATCATCAAACAATAAAGGGTAAGTTCTACAGTGAATGCCAACATCTACTAGGTATTCTACGTCTCTTTTATGTTTCTATTACATTCATTCTTATGCATTATGTAGGTAATATTAATTTTATTGAGCTGATTTTCATTGTTATTTTACTAGAGCTTCTGAATGAAATGGTAGGAGCTGCATCCTTGAAATGCTTTAGTATTTAAGCTAATATTGGCAGCTTGTTATGGTAAGAAATTATTATCTTTGGATGAGTACTTTTTGGTTCTATTGTTTATCACAATAATTTTCTTGGTTGTAACAAAGATGGTACCATAAAATTTATGATGTAGAACAAATCATTCATATATTAATCTGGGGATGAAACTTAAATATAATCATTGTGTTTGTATATGATACGTTGATGTTGTGCCAGAATGATTGCCATCAGTATTCCTTTGGCTGCTCTGCCTATCAAATGGGAAAAGATGCTGAAATTCTGTTTTTGTAACTGAATTATGTTGCTATATTTCATTTTATTATTTTTTTAAAAATTTTATTTCTTTAAAATTCCTGGTTCATGTTTTAGGCTTTTGCATCTCTATGTATTCTTAGTTTTCAGAAACCTTTCTGAATCTGGCATAATATGCTTGATTGCTTGTAGTATATGGATTTACTCGTATGAAAAAGTTCGTTTTTAGGATTCTAATTGATTCATGGACCATGTCCAAGGCAATAAGCTTTGGATCTTGATTCTGCTCCAAAAGTTGAAGCGTAGTGATTCATAACAGAAAACGCGTTGAGCCAGTCTTCAGTAGGTAGCGTGTTTAGTTGCGTGAATCTCTCTTAATTTTTTGGTAGGAATAAGCCTTGAATTAGTGGCATTATTTTCTCTTTTTCAGTTGATATTTTTTAACAATTTCTAGTCTTATACTTGCCTATAAAATGAAACTTTTGTTTATTGAATAACATGGTTTATTTTTTCCTCTTGTTCTCGGATTATACTTTTTCGCTCATTCTTTGTTCTAACCCAGCATTTTTGTATCAAAGTCAGGTAAAAAAGTCTATTTGAGATAAACATCTTTAGTGAAATGGATGGTACAGGAAGTTCAACAATAATGCCATAGCCTTCTCTTCCAATTCTGAATTGCGAAAATAGTAATTTTTGGAGCGTGAGAATGGAGACTTTGTTTAAGTCTCGAGATCTGAGGGACTTGGTGGAAAATGGGTTCACCGATCCTGATGAGGAAGCAAGACTTGAGGATAACACAAGAAGGGACTTCAAGGCACTATTCTTTATCCAATTTAGTTCATGCATTGTTAAAAAGGGCGCAAGACGCGCTAAGGTGATAGGGGTATTATAGCCGAGGCACAAGTTGTGTGCCTTGTTAAAGTGAGACGCACATTTTGAAAATAAAAGATATACAGATTTTTTTTCAGTTGTATAGTCAAACAAAAAGAACAGATTTTGTAATGTAAACACCAAAGAGTATTCATCATCAACATTTTATGTATTAAGCACCACTTCAAAATTATTTACATTCAATAAAATTTTGGGTGATATGAATAGTATGATTCTTTGAATGTTCAACTTCAACATGAATCAGTCAAGGAGAATGTATAAATGCACATAAAGCAATTAAACAAGAAAGAAAATTTAGTACTTTAAAAATGACTATAAATTTAACAAAAGCTCTTCATATAATTTAACTTTAATGTTCTAATCGAAAAGCATATGATATGACCTTGTATTTTATCATGCAATATGGAATTTTATATATTGTAAATAGGCAAAGCTAGTTATGTAATAATCTCAAAAGGATATCAGATAATATGACATCATATGTAATTATTTTTCTTGACTAAATTTGTCTCCATATCTCTCCATCAAGCGAGTGGTAGCATTTGTCGTCTTCCTCATCTTCATTTCCATCTCATTTATTTTAGGGATTCTTATGATAAACTACCATCTCTTCCTCCTAGTGAGCTCCCTCTTGATCTCAAATTGAATCGCTCTTCATGAACTCTAGCAGCAGTCGCAACATGTCCCCAAGTGAGACCTTTATCCTCCTCAAATACAAACTCGTCTTCGGCATCTTCATATTTCCTTCAAGTCAACCATTCATTGTTGTCATCAAAATCTTTCAAAGTTATTGGATCAATTTTATCATGCAACTTGAATCGTTGAACCAATGTTCGATTGTATTTGACATATACCAAGTCTTCTCTTTTTTGGTATGAATCTATGAAATAATGAGAAAAATTTATTTAGTTTATAGTTATCAAAAAACCAAGAACTTAACATTCTTAATTAAATAAATTTAGTTAACGACAATGACTCACATGCGCAAGAGTGTTTCAATTTCTTTCACACCCCGATGCACTACAGGTAAGGCTCAAAATTTTTATGGCAAATTGTTGTGAAGTAGTTATTGAAGAATCATAACATGGCCACCAGTCAACTGCAACATAAAAAAATCACACACACATATATATATCAAAATAGAATACAAGTAAACCCTGGACATAGTATCTCATCTTTTTAGCTTTTATTTACAACTAGCTACTTTAATCTGGAAGTAATTTCTAGTTCTGTTGGAAGTATGCAATACTACCTTTGTGAAATAGTCACAAACTGTACTCCAACCACCCTGTACATTGCACATATTTATAATATATTAAAGTATCTCCTTGCACCTGTTACTTTATGAAAACACAATTAGTTCTGGTTCCCAAGTTTGATACTTTTTGTTTTTGATCAAATTAAAAAAAAAAGGTTTGAGACTTGCTTATAAAAAAACTCATTTGCGGAAGCTAAAGCCATAAAATTTATAATATATTTGCCACTCAAACTGGTCACGTCAACAAGAAGGGCTAAAATTAACAATTGTTGGGATTTATATGAAGCTCAAATAGACAACCAAATAATTTGCTAAGAGGGGTGAATTGACTTTTTGAGTTTAGAGAGTAAGGAGTATGGAAAGATATAAAATTTTGCACAAGGATTTATAATGGTTCTATTTCTCAACCAAGTCTACATCCACTGCCTTAGCTCCTCACCAAAGATTTTCTAACAAATTCACTTATTTGTTCTTTCTTTTTACAGGATCAAGAGATAACCTTTACAACTCCCTATATTTCCAAAGGCTTAGCTAGAACCAATCCCCTTTTACAAAAGATTAAAATGTAAACAACAAAAATTTCTCAAAAGGAAGAGTGTTTACAAGATTTAAGCCCACAAAAACAAAACCTAAGGATATACAATTAAGCTCAAAACAGAAATATTTAAGGAAAATAGGAATTAAAAGCTCTTCTCTTGTGTTTGATTGCTTGGATAGGTGTTCTAACCCTTCTTCAAGTGTCTTGAACTTGTATTTATATCTTGGAACGTGTTTGTGGCCGTTTCTAGCCGTTGGGGATGAAATTTCGTGCAAAATAAAATTGCCCAGTACAGGGAGTATCAATACTCCTTTAATGAGTATTGGTACTTTCTTTATTATTTTTAAATAAACTAGTCGTTACTAGCCGTTGGGCCTGAACAATATCAATATTATGATCATGGTATCGATACTACTATGTAAAGTAGTATCGATACTCCTTTGAGTATCAGTACCTATTTTGCATTCTGGAATTTGAGCAAGCTGACAGTATCGATACTACCAAGAAAGTATTGATACTTCTCTTTCCTTTGGTATCAGTATTGTAAGAACAATATCGATACTACTTATCCAGAAAAGCATTTTGTGCTCAAATTCTATTTTAATGGACTTTGAATTATTTTTGAAAACTTTGAACAAATTCAATTCAAGTCTAAAAACATTTTGCCTTAATTTGTTATATCAAAACATTATAAAACATGGTTCAAAAACAATTCATTAAATTGACAATTTATAATATATAATGGTTTAGGTCGCAGAGCCGCCGTGTGTGGTGGCCTGCCTTACGACTTAGACCTCTCGGCCAAGGGAGGGACAATGGATTAGGCTCGGTTTTCATCGGGGTGTCTGCTGGCGTTGGGTTTTAGGGCGTCGATGGTGGCTAGTCGAGGGGAATGGTCACCCGTGCGTGGTGACCTGAGCGTCAGGCTCCGATTCTTCAGGATCAGCTAACGTGGGTGCACGAACAAGAGAGGAAGGAAGAGCTGCTAGGGTGTAGAGAGATTCGGGCCGAATGAAACAAAAAGAAGAATAGATTATATTTAGGAATTTGGGGTAAATCATGCAAAGGTCCCTGGGCCTTTAGCGTGTTTTGCATTTCAGTCACCAATTCGTGGGATAATTACCCATAGGTGCTCTAACTTTAGGAACTCATTCGTATTTTGTTCACTGGTTTATGGGTAAAGTGCTGTGTGGTCCTTGTCTTTAGTAGATATAGCATTTTGGTCAACCGTTTGTTGGAAAATCTCCCTTAGATCCTTTATATCTTGCCGTGTTTTATATTTAGGTCACTAGGTTCATCTTTAATTGCTAGTTTTGATTTAAGCCCGTATGTTTTGTTTTATTTTATTCTGGTCACTTGCTATATATTATTTACTTGTTTCGAGTTGTTCCGTTTGTTGTTATTATTTTTATTTTGGTCACTTTTTAATGGTTTTGCTTATTATTTTCATGTTAGGATTTATTTCACTTTGCCATATATATGTTTATATTTGTCTAGTGTTATTTGTATGTAAATCATATATTATATGAAAATAAATTTATTTACTAAGTATTTTTAATGTTTGTATACACGTGTATGTCATTGTATTTAATCTTAGCCTATTTATTTATTCATTATTTTAAATTTATCCACTAGTAAGAATTTTACTCGAATATGTTTAAGGACAACGATTTGTAGAATGGGCGTGGAAAACATCGCTTGATCGAAGTAGTGTAATCCGATACGACGTTCGAACAAATGTAAACTTGAAATAAAATTGATTTTATTTTGCTAATTAATTTTTTTATTTTAAGTTAAATAATGTGATGCATGTTACTAAATAGCAATTTAATTTCACGCAAATGTTGAT